GCCATAGACGCAGGTATGCGAATGTCCAACGTTAGCTCATTTTGATGGTGGTGGGAGCTTAAAGTTTTAAGACGTAACAGTTAACGCTAGCGTTAACGTTTGTATGTGTATACGTCATGCATTGTTAACAAGCAATATAATAGTAGCTGCAGTAGTATTTTGCTTTGTCTAAAAGTAGTAAAATTGACCTAAACGTAGCTGATTATTGCCCTTCTGTTTTGATAGTAAGAGCTAATAGCGTTAGCTGTCAGTGCGTAATTCCGGGAAATTCTCGTTCTCCCTAAATTGATCGTTCTCTCCTCACTCCTTTTATCCTTTCTACTTTTATTACAATGTTCCCATAGTTAACTGTGAGGTGTTTTTTGATTGTTCATATTTCTCTCATTAAATTTGACTGGTGCACTGAGGTGACAATAAGTTTTCAACAAAACATTTGTAAATAGTTAAACTCCAAATGCAAATGAATGTAATGTCAACAAAATTACACCTAAGTAAATATGCTACTTTTAAGTGCAGAAATCCATGCAAGCAGTAGATGTCACCCCTGTTCCTCTAATGGTTTAACTATTCTGACATGTCACCTGTTGTCCCTTTATTTTCAGTGTCATGTGAGGATGTCTACATTAGTGGCCTATGAAGATTCAGAGTCAGACGATGAATCTCTGTCTCAAGCAGAGGAGGGAGCTTCTGTACAAACTGGATCTTGTAAACAAAACCCAGAAGCTGTGGTGTGTAATAACTTTGAGGTAGCACCCAACCCTCAGAGTTTTACTCCTGACTGGACATTGTTGGAATATCATGGAAAAGCCTCAGAAGTATGCAGATCTTCACTACACCTGCAATCACAGCCACAGAGCTATCTTGATTGGGAAACACAATATTGTAATAGCACAACAGCACAAGATAAGCATTTTAGAGACACTGCAGCTGCTCCTAGCTTACCTGTTACTCAGGGGAAGATCCCACTAATGCATACTCTTCCTCACATGCCACAAAGCTTCAATGATGGGTTGAATCCAGCAAAAAGACCCCACACTGTCTCGTCTGGGGTCAGACCGTACATTCCCAAAAGACAGAGACTTGCCAGAGTAGAGACAGTGGAGCCAAAGTATCCAGCAGAGCAGACCTCAGAGAACCAGACCAGAGGAAGCCAGATTTTCTCCGATGTATCGCAGAGAGTGAAACCATATCTTGCTAACAAGCCTGGTGCAGCAGGGATACCGAGGAGGCTTCTGATCAGCCTGGGGGGCCACCAGGGCCCAGTTAACACAGTGCAGTGGTGTCCAGTGCCCCATCTCAGCCATCTGCTGCTGTCTGCCTCCATGGACAAGACTTTCAAGGTAATGATAGCTTCTGTACAAAAAGGTTGTCACTGGCTTCAGGAATGACGGATATTGATACTTTTCTTTGGAAACTATACAAACAGTAGAGAAGGAATTCAATGCTTCTGTGCTGTGACGCTTCCAATTATACAGGGTTTTTTATTTTATGCAAAATTACCTATGCAGTTCAAGTTTTAGTTAGGATTCTGGTGTTTTTTTTTCCATGGGATAAAATTTGACTGCTTTATATATTTATGGTGTTTATCAGTATAGTTTAAGGCAGCTGCCAAGTACATTGGTGAGGTCTTCGGGGTATAATCGCTTACCTGGCATTCAGGGTAATTGGTGCGTTGTTTAAGGCAGAGAGAAAATACCAGCTTTGCTGCTTCAATTTATAAATGTACCACAGACCTCTTTCTTTAGAATCATATCTGTCACTGCCAGCTGAATGTATGTCAGGACCCATGGGACTTTTCTCGCTCCCTCCCAGTCTGCCTCTCTCTTTCCAGTTCTCCCCATCCTTTTCTGTATTTCACACCAGGAAAACAATCCCTCAATTCCCTTCTATAAAGGTCAAGCAATGCAGGTGTTTGTCACTGACTAAATATTTCTATCCTAGTTTGAAATCACCAGCCTCACCAATATCCTAAGAGGGGTCTGAATAATAAATCATTTAAATATTCATGAGTTTATTTACATAATCATTCAAGTGCAGAAGTATTGCAGCCACCTCTTCTGGAACCTGGAAGTGCTGTTTGGAGCAGATGGTGGAGACTAGCAGAAAAGGGAAGGAGAGAAGTCTTGGTAGTTTGGATACAAGAATTTCTCTTTTTCTCTGTGTCAGGCTGCCTAACCAGGAGCTTTCTGTCAAGCTAATAGAGAAAAAAATGATGTAATCTATGCAAGTGTCATTTATTTGTTTTTCTCCAAGTTCATATTCAGGATATTCACCTTTTACATAGACATTTTAGTTATTATAGCTCATGCAGTATATTCTTCAGTTGTCTGTAACTGTTGATTAGAGCTGCAAATTATGAGGTGATATAAAATGTTATTCTGAGGCTCACTTCTCAAACTTGTGCCTAAAGAAAGTATTTTTTTCCAATTGGATCACACCTGCAGGACGTGACGCCTCAAAACAGTTTTGGTCAACTGTTGTGAATCAGCATTTTCAATATAGTAAGTCTACAGTAGGTTACCATAGCAACATTACTTTACACTGTACTAACATTTCAGCTGTCACTTATAAAATCTAAGAACAATGCAGAAACTTTGAATTATTATGATTATTGATTATTCATAGGTGTACTGATTAAACATTTGCTCATCCATTAAAAGGGACAAAATAATTTAAAAAATGACCATTACAAATTTTTTATAGTCCAGCATGTCTTAAGGCTGCAACTAATGATTGAAATAGTTGCTAATGAATTTTGTTGTTGAGCTAATTGAGTGATTGTTTTAGTTCGTCTTATTGCTTGTTTATCAAAGATATGAAATGTACTATCACGTACAGTTAGACAAAAGCAGCAGATGGTCACAATTGAAAAGCTAGACAGTGAATTTTGAAAATGATTGATAAATAGCTGAATATTGATAAACAATTTGTTCAGCTGATAAAAAAGTGTGCATTTAAACGTAATTTAAGTTTTTGCAGCAGCCGTGGTATGAGTACTGCAGAGTGTCCTGGTACAGAAACTGACTGGCATGTCGTACGTTAGTGCTTACTTACTGACATACCGCACAGCAATATTAATTGTCTTTGGGCACTTTGACTGCAGTTTTTCTCTTCTGTTTGGCTTAAGTCAGAGAGTGGTTGTAGTCTCTGAAGTCCTGCACATTCCCTTTCGTACTTGTGTTTCTTCACCATCACCCTTCAGGCTTCCTACTCCTCTTCCTCCATCCTGTCTCTCAGTTCCTCAAAGGCACAGGCAGACTATTATTATTCCAGCCTGTTTGCAGCTGTTGTCACCATGGCTACAAGCAGGTGTAAGGCAGCAGTTTTAAGTTGATAGAACAAATACCAATTTAGTTTTAATTACTGAGAGTCATTTAGGAAGCAGATTATCCCGATGAGTCATGTGCGGGGATCCACTCTGTCTCTCTGTTAAGTGGCCGGTGAAATTAAGGGGGATGCAGATAAACAAACGCTCATTTTCATCCATGCACAGGTCTCACACTGTATGAGATTCATGTAGTGGTCTTGTTATGATGCATATCATTAACACTGTCATTCATAATGTAGGAAGCAGCCTGGAGACAGCCACTTTGTCACAGTTGTTACATATGTAGAAACCTATGTTTAATTCAATGTGTTGTGAAGCTTTTGTGACTGTAGATTGTATCATCAGATTTTCATGCTGCCTTGAGATGGCAGTGTTTCCCTAAAATGATACAGAGATGTGGAATACCCTGTTGCACACTGAATGGAAATGTAACTAATACATGTGTCCAAAATTTAGCTTTTTGCAACCAAAAGTCTGAGCCTCTGTCTCATCCTGGAGGCATCTCTGGCTTTCTCTCTGTTAAACTACTGCCTGCTGGATTGATATGTCACTCTTACCCCATCCATCTCACTTCCATATCTGCCTCCTGCAAGACTCTCCTACGGTGCTTTTCCAGTGTGTTTTTATGCTGAATGCAGGAGTCATCTTTAATAATAAAACACAGGAAGAACCAGCAAGGGATCTTCAGAGCCCCACAGATCTTTAGTTTCTCTTGGCCTCCTCTTGGCACTGGGAAGGAAAGCAAAAAATATTTCATCAGTAGTGTAATGCCTCACCTCAGTGTGCCACAGACCAGACCACCCACTGGATTTCAGACTAGGCTTCACTGAAAATAGTTTGCCTTTTGAGATGTATGAAAGATAAGTGTATTCTTGATCAACTGGAAATCTGATTTTAAAGAAGTCACAGTATTGACTGACCCATTTGCCGTACTTTTTTTGTTTGAAGCACAATGCAAGACCTGAAACTATTCATTAAAGACAAAACCAAGATTAACAATAGAACAAACGAAACAAAAAAACTCCTCTTTTATACTGTAAATCACTGTTAGCTTATTTAGATCCATTTTTAGATTTGATTCATGCTATGATTTTTTTTTTTATTTCAAACCAGCAAGGTGCAGTGCCATCTGATGTCTTCTCTTTCCCACTGCTTCTGTTTACCCATGCATGTTTGTGACACTGGGTGTTTGTTTGCTGTGTAAAGGATGATGCCACTTTTTAGCCTTTCAACACAATTATACATTTTCTTTCTTAGAACATGTTTTCATTCCTACATTGTAGTAAAACTCATTAGTAAAACTCATTCTATCAAGACTAAGGATACATCATGTACAGTATATAATCTTCTCCTCTGGATTTGACAGTTTTTCATCAAGCAACATCAGTTCCTTTTATTTTAAGTTTTTATATAGTATACTGTGTATTTCAGGCAGTGGAGGCAGAACTGTGTTAAGCTTTCATCCAGAAATGCTAGAGCTTGTCCATAGTATGTAAATAAATAACACTGTTGCTTCAGTGTTGATGTATTTGTGACTTTGGCTTGATGCAATGTATTTGGCAGGTGTGGGATGGAGCGGAGAGCGGGCAATGCCTCAGGGTTTACACCTGCCATTCGGGAGCTGTGCGTGATGCCTGTTGGACCCCCTGCGGGCGACACCTTCTCACTGGCTCATTTGACAACACGGCTGTGATCACAGATGTAGAGACAGGTGAGCAGCAGTGTTTCTTTCTTCTGGTCTGAGAAACACAGTGTGACATAATAAGCTACTGGATTTACTTTTTGAAGTACACCGTGTCACTGGGAATTTACCCTCAAGTGAATTCACCATTAGATCCAGTTTTGCATGTGTCTGCAGTCCAGTGCTGTAGACACACCAGCTGTGCGGTGCCTTTTAAATTCCCTCAAATGTTAAGAAAGTTGTAGTTAAACAGCATTACCTTTGTTTTAGTTTTAGGTGGACCTGCTTTCCATCAGACATTTTTCTTTGAGAATTTTGCTGGTGTTATGGGAAACTAAAACTTCTTGGCAATTTTATTTACTGCAAATGTAATGTTGTTTTTCTAACTCTAATGTTAGTATATACCAATTTATGTGTGGAGTAACTTTAAATTGGTTTGGGCCCCAAACCTTTTTTTTTTAAACTTATTGTATAAACTGTGAAGCTGCTTCTCTCTTTCTTTTCCTGTAGTCGTGACCCATTTCAGGGGTAGGCAGTTTCAAAATCTGCAATTCTAGAGTGCGTACTTGACAAACACTCCTCCAGCTGCAGCCAAGAGATGCTGTCTTCTATTCCTAAAATTGAAATGAAACAACTGATATTTCCTGTAAGCCTCTGGTATCCCTGAGACCAGCCACTTTGATGCTGTGCACTTGATCCATATCATCTTATAAAACTGGAGGTGTTTGAGTTTACCACAGTTTGCAACAGTAATAAAGAGATACATTTACATTGTACAGTTTTCTATGAAATCCTGAAAACCTGCAATTTCACTACAGTGAATTACCTGTAGACTGTCTTATTTAGAGAGGTGGATCATCTAAATTAAGTTCTATGGAGGCTACATACTGTATCTACTTCAGTGGAGATGGCCCCTTAAAATGGGCACATCTCTCTTTTTCTTCATTTGTGTTTCTTGCAAACACATAACATACAGTACATGCTTAAAAAGAAACCAAAGATTCCTACAGAAAACTTTTATTTCACAGACTAACAGTAAAATCCACTTTGAGCCAAAGCCATAACATAGTGTTTGCCAGAACTTTTTTTTTTTGTACTTGTACAAAGCATTTTCAAGCATTTGCTTTGGAAATGCTTTTTGTTTGAACTGGCATGGCAGGAAGGATGAGAACAACTTGCACAGACTTTCAGCAACAGTCAGATTGCTTGTTCAGCAGTTAGAATGACATGACAGAAAAACTTTTTCTTTATCTGAAACAGTTCATGAATTTTAATAAAGTAAACTACAAAACACTAGAAGGAAAAAAGGTTTAGTTAAATTTTAGCAGACAGTGTTTATATATACAGAGAAGACAACTTTTGAATCCCCCACTGACATCTACATCTCTAGGGCCAGCACATGGCAGTGACGTTTGCACTTCCCCTCTCAGCATGTCTGTCAATTCCGCCAATAAAGCCTGGTGATAATAGCTCGGCCTGCCCATTAAACACACAGGCAGCTCCAGGAAGGGGATCAATAATAGATACATCACCACAGGAGCAGCCACCGTGACCTTACCCTGGAACGTCACCAACCACGACCATACACAAACACATATTTATTTTGGTCTGAGCAGTGCCTCACTCAGCGCTGTAGAAAGATGTCCCAGTGGTTTCAAACTAACACCTCTGAAATAATGTCAGATGTCCAAAGAGCCCTCACACATCAAGCCTGCAACTGTCTTTCTGTTTTTTTAAATAATATTTTATAATTCATAATTATTTTTATTGCTGTTATTATTCATTTGTATTTTGAAGTTGAATAAACCATATTGTTTCTGAGGCTCTGCAGATATGTGCTGGCACTATGGAGCAATAAGCATGCATTTTTATAGCAAGAAAATTTAATTTGGCTGCATATTAATATGGGAGTTGGGAACTCAAGCCCAGTTTCTGCACAGTTGTTATGTAATTTACTATGGCGCAGCTAAGACCAAGGCACTGACACTCTGAACCCGTTCATATCCTAGAAGTAAAAAGAACATAAAGTCCAAGATGCTTGTGTAGTTTACCTTGTGATCATTTAAAGACAGAATGAGATAATTGTGGTTTTCATATCAAATTGGTAAGCTATGGCTCTCATCTTTATATTTCTGACACCTATGCACTAAGGAATTGGCATAATTATGATAGTGATGTTTGAAAAGTTAATGAAGCTCCATGTGTGTTAACACCGTCTCCACCATGAGCAATAGCGTAACGAGGGAGCTGAGTGTTTGCTGTGTCAGACTTCTAATCAAGATTAATGTGATCTTTATAGTCTTCACAGTACTGCAGAGTCTCTCAATCCTAACAAGGAATGCAGCTGGGCCTATTCTGTTTAACTGAGTTTGGAGAGGTGTATAGGCCCTTTAATAATGAGTGAGGATTCTGTAGGACACCTGACCCCTTATTTCACTACATAGAAGAGCGAATCTATGCGTTCAGAATAGTGTGTGTGCTCATTTTCCTTGGCTATCTGTGCATTTGTTCATGTGTCCAGTTTAATTTGTACAAGCCACTCTCAGTGGGCCACAGGCCAGCACCAGCAACAGCAGAGAAGTGGAGGATGGAGGTAGGGATAGCAGATTAAGGGGCATAATGCAGAAAGAGCAATGGAGAGGAGAGCAAGAATGCAAGAGGAAAAAGTCAAAAGAGGCAGAATATATTCAGAGAAAGAAACAGAGCGGGAATTGAGGAGTGGAATAAATGAATTTCATCTGGATGGCATCAGTCTGAAGCAGCAGCTGCTGCTGTCCATTGCTTTCATGACTGTTCTTGGAAAAGTTGTTTGGCAGAGATCAGTGATGGGAAATATATCCACCAGCTGCTACAGGTTGTGGTATTAGATTATATGTGTATGCAGGGCTTTAGTCTTCTGCTCAGATCCGCTCAGGCGCTGGCAGAAAGGAGTCTGTCCATGCTTTCCAGTAAACAGGACTACACAAAGATAGTAGCGGTGCTGAGCTTGGTCTTTGCCCTTCTGCCCCATCTGCTGAATGTAGCTAAAGGCTTCAAGAATAGAATTCATTTGCAAGATGGAGTTTCACTTCTTTGAATGAGCTACAAGCTACATATTCCAGTAGTGCAAGGGTAAAATAATGAGTCATACTGAGGGACTGAGTCTGGGGGTCATGCCACAGAAAGTTGTTTTAAAAAATATCAAACCCAACCATGCAATTTATGTGAAAAGCACTCATTCTTTTTCAGAGCAAAATTCACATCAAGTAAGCATTTGATGTTTTATCATGTAGACTGCAATCTTCTAGGGGTATGCAGCAGTTACTTAAGATATATCACTGTGTGAAAAACACATTTTAAATGTCACTGTTTTGCATATTTAACAGTCATTTTTAACTTGACATAAACAAAGATATACTCAGTTATCATACATGGTAATTTTCTTAGCATTAGTTTATTTTAAGTCATTTTCTGAACATTTTCTATGTTTAACAGGAAGACAATTTGGATTTTTTAATCAAAACACATACATGCTACCTACTGTAATATATTCATAATCAAACTGCTGCAATAAAAATGTGTACAATAAATATATTTTCACTTATAATTTTCATTTTATCTCCTGGGAAATGGAGAACCAGTGAAGTGTTGTTGTATAAACACAGGAGCCTTAAGCACTGTAGGCAAGGAAAAAATACATTCAGCAGCACAAAACCAAAAGCTTTTATTTCAAATGCCACTGGCGAGCATATCTGCATTTTGACCTAGTTTGAAAGCTTCGTTTTGGTTTCCAGCTCGGTTGGCACAGCCTTTACTCTGACAAAAAAAAAAAAAAAAACACCAAACCCCTGTTTAAAGAGACTAGAAATGACTGAATCTCTGATCGTTCTGTGATGCCTGGTATATTTATAACTTATATTAGTGCACATGTGCTAATCATTAACAGCAGTAAAGATATTTGTCTGTGATTACACAAAGGTTTGTAACATGACTGTGTATGTGTATTTTAAACTAGGCAGTGTTCCCAGAAGTGTATGCAGTGTTTTGGAGCTGCTCAATACTTAATTTTTAGTTTAATTTTTACTTTACTGTCTCTCTCTCATCCCTCCATGAAAACAGCTTGCTTTAATACCCTAGCTTAGTCTGGGTTCCTGTACCTAGGACAAAAGAGTGACGATTCCTCAAAGCATATGCTTTTAGAAACCATCAAAGACCTTTAGTGAATCTCAATTCCACTAACTGCATCCACATTTCCCTCACTTGCGTCTTTTCCTTCTGTCTTAGTCCCGCCCACGTAAGATGTAAGGACAAACTGTGAAGAGAGAGGATTGAGGAAACACATTTTAACTGACATGGGACATCCTTTCCTCCGATCTTTCGTGTGAAGCGTCCAATCACAAAATGATTTCCGATAAAGGGGCATGTCAATCTGTAACAGACGTCCCTGAAGGATATGCTCATATATCCTTGGTTATAGCTCCTCCAGACAGCCTCCTCGCTCCTCAGAGCAGAAATAATAGCTCTGGGACATCTTGTAATGCTGAGTTATCAGTGGAATGATTCTAATTAAGCAATGATAATTGAAACATGTTCACAGTCAAGTAATTAAGGAAAAGATGTAATTACAGTGCATTCATGTAGTACATGTAGTTAGATTCTGCTTGGTTTGTATATTTTGGTCATAAATTATGATTTGGACATTATAGGTTTCCTCACCTCACCTCAGGACTTGGCATATACTAAATGTGAAATCTGTTTAAAGGATGTAAACCAGCTACAAATATGACTTATGAAGTCTATTTCCAAACTATTTTTGGATATGTCTTTCTAACTTTTGCTTACATAGAGTGACGGCACCCTGCTTTGGTGGATTCAGTAATGAGACAGAATATCAGTTTCGTCCCTGCTTCCCTCTGTAAGGGGCTCATCCCCACTGTCGCAATCACTCCTAATGTCATCCACTGTGTGTCAGCTCCACCGCATGATCACAGTTCTTTCAGGACTACAAAGTAAACTATGGTGAGGGAGGGACAGATCACTTCAGGCCTTCCTTATCTCTTCTCTCAAGCAAGCTAATTAATCTTGCTTAATTAAAACATGATGAGGCTCGATTAATTATGAGCAGAATGTTGATTTCTCATCGTCTCGCTAAACATAAGTTTCAAATCTGGATGACAGATCTTCTGGTTATCACTACGAGTAAGCCAATTAAGCAGGACGTGTGAGCCCGACAAAGTTGCCTGTTAAAACTTTGGATCAGTGCAGTCAAATTTGAGAGCGAGCTAGTTCACCATTAAGTGAAGGAAGGTCCATTTCTGCTGCAGTTTATTAGCTGTGACTCAATGGGAAAATCCAAGAGCAAGTGGGTAATGAGGTGCATTGTTGTTGTCAGCCAATTGCCTAAGACTGTTCTGGATGGGGTCTTTGTTTTTTGTTCGACGCTTTAATGAGGGGCTGTTGAACCCTGGGGTGTACTGCTTTGCATAGCCTTTGACAGAACTACTGGGTCATAGTCTGGCTCTGCTTCCTCACACTAAACAACAAAAGCCATGCAATCCTTTTTCTTCATGTTTTCCCATGAAACAAATTTTGTGTCGCACCCTGTCAGGCATAATTATATTTAAGCTCCTCAGTGTTTTGGTTTGGTATGACATTTTTAAAACTGATTTAGATAAAGCTGCCTCCAGCCAAAACAGTGGTTTAGATTCAGGTTTTTCTTCTGTGCATCACTTGGTCTTTGTCAGTTCAGATTAAATGAAGTACCCTCTGAGATTGATACATATGATGTGCTGCTGTCTGGATGTGCTGCAAATGTCCTGCAAACCGCATACAAAACAACAAAGGCCGTGCAATCTTTTTGGTCAGGCCTGTATCAGCTATCATCATTAAAATGAGTTAGAAACTCACTGTTTAGTTGGTCTCGGCCATGTAATGATTAAAACATGAAGCTTTTTTTAGTGACAGAAAGACGTGATCAGAAAGTGAAGCCTTTAAACAAGCTCAGCCTCTGACCTGAAATGATCACAGACAGCTTCTCTTCTTTTTATGCCTCCGTGCCGGCGAAAGCCACGGCGGGAGACATTATGTTTTTGGGCTTTTGGCTGTCCATCCGTTTGTGTGTCCATTCTTGTGAATGCAATATGTCAGGAATGGCTTGATGGAATTTGGCACAAGTGTCCAACTGGACTCAAGGATGAACTGATACATTCTGGTGGTCAATAGTCAAGGTCAGTGATGTCCCATTCCTGTGAAGTTGACTGACTGGCAGATGAATAGAACTGTGAAGTGGTAATTCTAGTTTTGTTAAACATCATTCCTTCATGAATTTCTGTACTGCACAGGAATGGGCACTTCATAAAGAGGACTGGATCCTTATAAGTGCACTCGGTTAATAAATCAGAAGTTTCAGCAGAATGTGTCTCAGAGGGGACATAGTTGAAATTTATCTTGTGTTTACTTTAGTCTCGATAGCTGAAAAAGCCAAAATATCATGCAGCACAAACTGCAACAGTTAGTCTAAAGTCATTAGTCCTACAACATGTAAAACTCATGGATGCAGAGGATATGGTTTTGTTTAGAATGATGTGTTCTGGGCAGAGCTTAAACAGCAGTAAGGAGATTGCTTGGCTAACCTTGGTCACTCCTAATGCTGGGGCCCAGAGAGGATGGAAACCAGCCATGGTCATAGTTGGAAACGAGCTCATTACAGCTGAGTAGACAGAATGCTCGCGGTCCCTATTTGTGACACGTGTATACACTGCACAGGCACAAACGCACACTCACCTACAGCATGCAGAACCCATAAATGTCACTGTTTCTTCGTTAGGTACATCATGTTCTGGTTGGTTAGCTGGTTAGAAATGAATACTTTCTCATTCATCTTTTTAAACTGAGTGATCAGTAATTGACTAATTGTTGCAGCTCTGCTTGATACTATCCTTCATATAAGATATGAGTATTTGAAAAGATATTGCTAGAAAAAGACAGTTATTTCATATAATGTCTGAATGACAAAGTAACAGCATTGAGTACAAGATCTTGCACAGAGCTTTTCTGTAAAAGTCGCACCTATTATCTTATATCATGTATATTAAATGGATATCCCTGGATTTGTGAAGTCTAATCCAAAGCTTTATTATAGACAAAAGCAAAGAAGTCAAGATTTATAATGTAAGAAAGAAGTATTGATCTTGTTCTTTCTGTCTTTCGTCTTGTTTGTAGGGCAGCGGATAGTGAAACTGGACAATCAGTTCAAGGTGATGTGTGCAGCCCTGCATCCCAGCAACCCAGAGGTGTTTCTGTGTGGAGGTTACAGTTCAGTGGTCAAAGCCTGGGACTCTCGCAGCTGCAAGGTGAAACTTATTAACCTCCTCACTCTAGATTTATCATTTTTATTGACTCCAGGTCACTGGCTGTTTTTTGACCTTCATAGCTCTAAGGCAGGTGGACTTGTTTCACGTGTGGCACATAGTGGTGCTCAGCCCCCACCTGCATAGTTAGATTTACACACTGAAACTAACAAAGTAGTATAATTTGGCTGTGCAGGGTGACTCACAAGAAGGATGATACTGTTGGATTTAGGAGTAACACTGCAAGTTATATCAAGTTCAAAGCAAATTTAAATTTCATTTGTGACTCATATAACTGTTCCCATTAAGCTGCAACCTAATATTACTATTAAGCTTAATGGACTGTTTTATATGATAATCCTATTCACTTTCTCTGAATCTGGATGCTCTCATGTATTTTTTGCTTCAGGGAACTGAACCTTCTCCCTGCAGGGTTTTAGGTTTAATATAGCTGGGATTGCTTCTGCCAGTAGGTGTCAATGTGAGTTGCAGAGAGCGTGTAGACATCAGCAAACAGGTTGTTAATGCTGTAACTGCAGCCTTAGTCCTAGGCTGTGTGTTTCTTGCTCTGGGTTGAAATTACCCCAGTAGATGAAAAGGAGCAAGACCAGCTTTCCCACCCACAGACAACATTAAATCAGCATTAAACCATTTGTCTGAAGTCTTGCCAAATGGACTCATGCGGATGAAGTACATGCATGAGATTGTCCTGTAATGTTAAAAATAATTGAATAAATGCTTGGGTGAAGTTAGAAAGTAGAAGGACAATGGATAAAGCTGTAGTTATTATTATTATTATTATTATTATTATTATTATTGCTACAGTGCCTTGCGAAAGTATTCGGCCCCCTTGAACTTTGCGACCTTTTGCCACATTTCAGGCTTCAAACATAAAGATATAAAACTGTAATTTTTTGTGAAGAATCAACAACAAGTGGGACATAATCATGAAGTGGAACGAAATTTATTGGATATTTCAAACTTTTTTAACAAATAAAAAACTGAAAAATTGGGCGTGCAAAATTATTCAGCCCCCTTAAGTTAATACTTTGTAGCGCCACCTTTTGCTGCGATTACAGCTGTAAGTCGCTTGGGGTATGTCTCTATCAGTTTTGCACATCGAGAGACTGAAATTTTTGCCCATTCCGCCTTGCAAAACAGCTCGAGCTCAGTGAGGTTGGATGGAGAGCGTTTGTGAACAGCAGTTTTCAGTTCTTCCCACAGATTCTCGATTGGATTCAGGTCTGGACTTTGACTTGGCCATTCTAACACCTGGATATGTGTATTTGTGAACCATTCCATTGTAGATTTTGCTTTATGTTTTGGATCAGTGTCTTGTTGGAAGACAAATCTCCGCCCCAGTCTCAGGTCTTTTGCAGACTCCATCAGGTTTCCTTCCAGAATGGTCCTGTATTTGGCTCCATCCATCTCCCCATCAATTTTAACCATCTTCCCTGTCCCTGCTAAAGAAAAGCAGGCCCAAACCATGATGCTGCCACCAACATGTTTGACAGTGGGGATGGTGTGTTCAGGGTGATGAGCTGTGTTGCTTTTACGCCAAACATAACGTTTTGCATTGTTGCCAAAAAGTTCGATTGGACAGGGAAGATGGTTCAAATTGATGGGAAGATGGATGGAGCCAAATACAGGACCATTCTGGAAGGAAACCTGATGGAGTCTGCAAAAGACCTGAGACTGGGACGGAGATTTGTCTTCCAACAAGACAATGATCCAAAACATAAAGCAAAATCTACAATGGAATGGTTCACAAATAAACATATCCAGGTGTTAGAATGGCCAAGTCAAAGTCCAGACCTGAATCCAATCGAGAATCTGTGGAAAGAACTGAAAACTGCTGTTCACAAATGCTCTCCATCCAACCTCACTGAGCTCGAGCTGTTTTGCAAGGAGGCATGGGCAAAAATTTCAGTCTCTCGATGTGCAAAACTGATAGAGACATACCCCAAGCGATTTACAGCTGTAATCGCAGCAAAAGGTGGCGCTACAACGTATTAACTTAAGGGGGTTGAATAATTTTGCACGCCCAATTTTTCAGTTTTTTATTTGTTAAAAAAGTTTGACATATCCAATAAATTTCGTTCCACTTCATGATTGTGTCCCACTTGTTGTTGATTCTTCACAAAAAATTACAGTTTTATATCTTTATGTTTGAAGCCTGAAATGTGGCAAAAGGTCGCAAAGTTCAAGGGGGCCGAATACTTTCGCAAGGCACTGTATTAGTTAGCGGTCAAATCCTGATTGTTGCATGCAGAGTATAGCTGCTCAGAAATTAAACATCTGACCAAACACCCTGTGAAAATCTGATCTGTCAAAACGGAGCTAGTGAAGTAAGGTAGGGGTTGTTCTCTTAGAATAAGAAATGCATCCAGTCCATGCTATGTGCAGTACTGGCCTAGGTCATGATTGACTGACTGAACCTCACCATTTGATGCCTTCTCTCACTTACTACTATGTAACCTAAACCAGATTTAAGATTCAAAAGGTTTTGTGAAATCCATTTAGGTCAACAATAGTGTTTTGCTTGTATGTTTTGGTTTTGTTTCAGGTTTTATTAACCAGTTGTCACTGATTCTAAACCTTTCTTGTCAAGATCATCATTATGCAGATCTACTCTGATCTGTAGAAAGCTCTCTAATTTGAGGACAGGAAATTAGAGTCAGTTGATCAGTTTGAGTTATTGTATATGCTAATGGTAATCAGTTAATGCTAGGGCCCATAAGTGGTGTACTATTTGTTCTGTGCTAATACAGCAATTAACTGACTTTGTCTTTTAATGAGAAAGCAGTATTAGCACACTATGGTTGACATCTTGTCATTCCACTTCAGAGGCAGAGATCTAGATCTTTCTGTTTATTATCATCTGAGGCGATTGCTGTGAAACGTTTTGTATATAAAATAAAAAAAAGTCTTGTAAGCATCACAGATGGCTTCATAATTGTTCTAACTACATCCAGTTCCACCAAATGTACTGAATGTGGTGTTTATAGTGCAACTTCTACGATTTTTACACACAATAACACCACCCACTACATTGTAGATTAAACGGTATTTCTCCATGTTTTTACGATAAAGAGCCTGATTTTAATTTATGCCTGTGTGTATATCCAGATGGTGAAAGTGTACAAAGCAGGGATCCAGCAGACCTTGGATATCCTGTTTCTGAGAGGTGCTGTGGACTTTATAACAAGCTCTGACTGTGTAAGCAGAGACTCTGCTGACCGCACCCTGATTGCCTGGGACTACCAGACCACTGCCAAGGTCTCCAACCAGATATACCATGTAAGGAAATCTGTGTGTTAACAAGAACAAATGGCAAATGAATATATATATATACACACATACAGTATGTTTTTGCACAAGATGTTCACGCTTCCCATTTTAGGTACATTCCTGAAAATGTGTGAACGTCCTGATGTGAAACACGTTGGTAATGAGGCGTGTGGAGCTGGCATATTTTGACAGCTTCATAGTGCTGGTGGAAGTGTGCAATTTACTGAGAGGCGCCTAATTCAAAAATGTGTTTTTAATGGCCTTTGTTCCTTTTTTGTTTTGATTGTTGTGTTGATGTTGGTGTGTGTGATATATATGTGTATGTTGCTGCAGTTAAATTAGGCATTAACTGTATTGTACAATAAGTCTCAGGAGTCAAGGAAAGGATGGGCAATATAATAGGAAGATCATAAAATACTTTGACACATTATAGATAGATTTCATGTCATGATATTATACAGTGTTTCTTTTACTTTGTCTCCCAGCTTTGCTTCTGAATATGTAACTTTTTTTTTATATAACAGAGGGGTTAACATGCAGTTGACTTCATGGTTATTAACAGCAAGAAAAAGTCAAATAAGTAATTAATTTCCCCTCTGGGTTTTTCCCCTCCTCTCCTTTGGCTACTAGGAGCGGTACACATGCCCCAGCATGGCTCTCCACCCACTGGAGGAGTCCTTTGTTGCCCAGACTAATGGGAACTACATGGCAGTGTTCTCCTCCCAGCAGCCCTACAGAATGAACAAGAGGCGCCGGTACGAAGGACACAAGGTCAGTAATGAGTTACAGTACTGGTTCCTGTAATAATTTCTCTATACTGGCCCTGTAGAGATCCCTTTCCTCTGAATCCAATGAAATTGATGGGGAACAGTATAACGCAGCTTTTCAGGGGAGGTCTCTTTCTGTTTTGTTTTTTTTTTCCACTTTTTTGTGATCAGACTAAATGACAGATTCAGCATTTATAAAGTACCTTTTATTTATTTAGTTTTTTGTCATTATTCCTATTCACAAGAATATGAATATTAATAATGGAAAAACAGATGAAAGTTACTGGTGGTGTGCATATTTTAGCACCTCGGAGGCATGGAGTGCAGCGAGGAGAGAGACAGAGACACCATTTTACTATGTGCACCCTCCTGCATGAATACCTACACCTTTCCTGGGTGTTATGGTTCATACATTAATTACCTACCTAAAAACCAAGTCCCTTGCACATGCTACAAAGAAGGGGCTGACTATGACACTTAAAACCCAGGCTGTCTTGTTTTCTGTTTGACACCAAGATACCATCTTAGATGAAGGTGGAGTGAGGAAAGACAAAGTGAATTGGTATCTTCCAGCTTCTCCTTGAATGATCACACCTGATCCAGGTAATTAGCAGTGGGTAGAGCAGGGCAGTGGCTCTTGAGGACCAGAATTGCTCACCCCTGATCCAAGAGTTTGTTTTTGCTGATATTTGCGTCAAAGTGAAGTTTACTGCTGTGCCACAGTTTGATGGTGATGGCAAGAATCGCATGCCTGCTGGTATCTTTATTAAAATGAATTATATGTATCATATATCAATAATAGCCTAATTTTACATGATCCATGATTACTAAGATGCAGAAAAACTGAAATAATGGCAAAATATTGTCAATATGTTAGACTTGTTCTTCCTTTTATTGACTGGGTTAGAAACCGGTGAAATGGACAAAATCTTCTATTGCAGAATATGTAATTTTATAATACTGATATGCACTCAGTTGCCAGTTTATTCAGTACATGACATGTAACTAAAACTAATGCAAGAGTAGTACACAAAACGCTACCATCATGAAGTTTTTGTGTTCTTGTATTTAGCCTGATATAAATGGCATGGACAAAATAATACCACCGGTCAGTGCAATGCAATAGAAACTACAGCCTCAACAAAGACCATAAAACTGAATCAGCCCATATTTGGTAAATGCATTGTAACTAACGTGTATTTTTGTCCTAGGTGGAGGGATATGCGGTGCAGTGCGAGTTTTCTCTGGATGGAACAATCCTAGCCTCAGGGAGCTCCACCGGCTCTGCTCACTTCTACGACTACCACAACGTTCGGTTGCTGCACACTCTCCACGCCCACAAACAGCCCTGCCTCTGTGTATCTCAGCATCCTGTCCTCCCTGCAACAGCAGCTACCTGCGACTGGGCTGGTGAGATCAAGGTCTGGCACTGAGTGAACAAGTAAATCCGGAGATGTAGAAGGTGGGTCAAAAGAAAAATCTAAAAATCATGTGCACATCCATCTTTAAGAATTTATCTCCTACGGTCTAATCCCTTGGTAGAAGATAATTAAAAACTTGGCATGAAATGCTGGAAGTCAGCAAATCTACTATTTGCTGATGCTTTTGAAAAACAGTTTTTTCCACAGTGTATTTCGCAATGCCTTCAGACACCACCCACATTTTCATTCCTATTGATCTAGATGCATACTGGTGCACGAAGAGTCCCTATTGTGTAAATCTTAATGTAAGCCTATTATTCATATTTGGCCCATCCTGCATTGTTTTAATATCCTGAAATCAGGGGGAAGTTACAGTGTGTGATCAAAGGAAGTGTCTTGACAGTTTAAACAGTGAGCTGTTGTTTAGCTTTATCTAAGGTGGTAGGCAGCGGAAAGACGAGCGACTGTGCACACAATCTCTGTGCTCAAAATACATCTAGGGACTTCATCATTATGTTCCTGAATTTTGTTTCAAAACAAAAGAATAAGGTTTGAACACGTTTTTAATCAGAAGTGCACATTCTGCATGCACATCACTTTCCTCTGTGCCTATTTGTTGGCTCTGATATGGCATCTTTTCATGCTGACAGCTTAGAGCATCACAGAGAAACAACCAGAGAAATACATGTAAAAATGCCAGTCAACAACAGAGCAAGTGTAGGCAGGAGCTTGTATCTAGTAGAACCGTCTTTTAAAGTGCATTGACTAAGATTTTACACAGTCTCATATATCAAGTAAAAATGGGATAGGACGTGGCGTCTGTTAGCTATTCGACCTCCGCCATGATATTCTGCTGACTATAGCAGCTCCCAGATGGAAGAGGGTGAGAGAGTGGGATGAAGAAAGAGCAAAAACCAGGTTTAACATCGGTTTGGCTTTTTGAGATGGAGAGCATTAAAAACTCATATCCAGCTGTTATAATATATTGATGGGACGTACAAGGGTTGAATTTAGTTTATCGTTATAATTGGTCATATTGGTGTTTGTGTCTGGTTTGGCACCATGAAGATAAACGCGAGCACTCTACTGGAGGGACACAAAGTTAGTTTAAATGTCATTTCTTTACTATCAATGTTTAAACGTTGGGGATGGGTTTTATTTTGACTTCTAAATCAGTCTGCAACTAATAACTAGACAAATGCATTTCCTGAAGAAAATGTGTGTCTTACCTTGTGACTGTTCGTGTGGTGCCATGTGAATTTTAATGTTTCTATTTTAAGCAATTAAACCAATAGCAGGAACCAACAAATGTGTACCTGGATATCTCGTTGGTTAACACCACTGACTTTGGTGCGGCAGGTTGGGGTTCTGTTCCCCGTCAGGCCGCGGTCAATATCCAGCATGGGCCCTTAGCAGGGACATGCTTTCCATCAAACCAAGCACCTCCTTTTCCTTGCTAAGATGTGTTAACCAATAGCAGAAACCAGTAAAAGTTCTACATGTGTGCCTAGACAGCAGGTGGATAGCTCAGTGGTTAACACTACTGACTATGATACAGCAGGTCAGGGTTTGATACTCTGTCAAGGTACAATAGATCATTTTGTGAGTGTGATTTGGATCCCTGTTGCAATCTCATTAACCAATACCAGAAGCCAGTAAGTCCCAAATATGTTCCAGTACAGCAGGTGGATGGCACAGTGGTTAATACCACTGACTGTTGTATGGCAGGTCGGGGTTTTAATAATGAGCCTCCCTATGGATTTTAATCAGAAACGTTACACGCTGTATTTGCTTCAGCCCCCCAGTTCTGTCCAAGTAAATTCCCACTACAAACCAGAAGTGAATCATTTATAGCTAGACTAACAGATAATTCAGTGAAAATAATGTTAAAAATTTTTCAGCCATCTCACAAATTTTTACTTATATATAGCAAGAAACAAATATTGCTACATAGGTTTAAATACTCATATTTTTTTATGAAGTTCAAGAGATTTATTTGCCATTTACACAAGTACAGACAGTACAGGTACATAGGAATATGTTGTGCATATCTGAGTCTGTATATAAATAAGTGCAATGTAAATAGAGTGCAGGAGAGAAAAGCAAAGAAAAATGTACACAACTAAGCGATCTGATTTTTGTCACTAATATGCAAACAATAAAACATTATTATTTTTTAATATTTTACTACTATGGGAGTAAATAGGTGTTCCTGGACTGATAACTCTGCCCTGTCCAGTGAGACACAGACCATAACCTCTGGCCCTCTAGGCAGCAGAAAGGTACTGAGATGGATAAAAGTATCACTGTGTGCTGGAACCAGTTGATTTACTTGGAATATAGTTAGCTCAAGATGACTTAAAAGTGATGTTTATGTCCAGAAGAGAGCAAATAGGTAATGCTCAAACCCCATGTAAACGATTGTATATCTAGATTGTTATATTAGTGGCACAGCTGTATTTTCTACTGGAGTCAGTGGGCAGTGTACACTGGAGTTTGAATGATCCAGACAATAATTCTTTGGGTCCATTTTGTCCTTTGATCCCTGTTAATGAAGTCGGCTCATTGTAGTAATTCTGTACATATGTGATTTACATTTGCATGTTGATGCCGGTCTGTCTGTGGTTCAGTTCCCCCTGCAGCCGTCCATCTGGGTTGCAGTGAAGAGATGCTCGCCATCCGTGTCGTGTGTTCAGGACGACTTCTACAGATGCTGAGCATCATGGACAGGTATGAAATTCAGCTGTTTAAACCAGTACTACTTCTGTGTATTTATTGGAAGATGGAACTGTAGTCCACTGAGTAACAGTGCTATTTTTTCTCATAATCATGGAAATGAATACAGAAAATACACAGCAGTGTGTTTGAATCTAGGCCAGATGTGGAGAAACAGTCGCACAGTATTTCACCTCAGTCAAACTTTACATGATATCTTGTAAATAACTACAGTTTGGATGCAGTTGACCTTTTATAGTTGTAGTATACAAACATTAATTATTACTAAACATTTTTCAGGCACAAGTTGGAGGTGGAATCTTATGGGAACGAGTCCAGCCAGGAAACCTCCTCATGATGGATACCCTGACTGACCAGCAGGTGGTGCAGCCCTGCAGCACCGTCTTCAGCTGGTCACACTGGTGAGTCCTCACTGAGGATTCAGTTGTATGGATTTTTTTTTTTTAGAAATCATTATTATTGCTGAAATGATTACTTGGTCAACAGAAAATTAATCACCTCATCATTGTTCAAGTAAAAATGCCAAATTTCTTAAATGTGTGAAGTTCATGTTTTTCTTCTGTATATGACTATAGAATGGATATTTTTGTGCTTTGGACGGTGATGGACATGTTTTACTATATTTATCCCCCGTTTTTTTTTTTTTTTCTTTAAACATTTTCATCCACAAATCTGGAAAAAAAATCTGATTATTTATAAAACTAATGATGACCAATTTATTCCTAATTTTATATTCTAAATCATTTTCTTTAGAAAATTGTGAAATAGAGAAAAATGCTCCTTTTCGTTTCCTTGAGACCAAGGTGCCACCTTCAAATTGTTTGTCCAAAGTCCAAAAATATTCAGTTTGTGATCATGGACAAAGAAAAACCTCAAATCCTCATTTGAGAAGCTGCAACCATGAAAAATTAGTACATTTTAAAAGACTGACAACTGCCAGTCTGTGGACTAAATGAATCAACTAATCATTTTGGCTCTCTTAGCTGCTAATATATTCCTGTATTATTTTGTTCAAAGTAGAAATATATTGAGACTGTACTAGTACTTGATAGTACTTTATTACTAATGTTGACTTGCTGTATTTTGGCAATGTGCACAACAGTAGGACTAACCATACTTTGCATAGATGATATATACACAATATTTATGTAGTTCATTTCCTCCACTATTGTTTCATGAAAGGCAGGTTTAACTGTAAAACAATGTATTTTTATACAGTGCACCTGAAGACCTGCTGAGTACATCAACTCCGGAACTTGGAGGCACACAGCTCGGTGAAGAAGACGACCCAGAGCTTTGTGGGCTCACACTACAAACATCCAGACAACAATTCAGATGGTAAATTGTTCAGATCGTTGTAAAATATGTTGCATTAAATTCTTATTGCTGTGGGGATAGCTTCTCAAAGTGAAATGTAACATTGCTTCAGTTTAGTATTGCTTAAATGTGAAGCCTTTTTACAAGAGTGATGCTTTACAACTGCAGAGTAGTTTAAAATAAAGATCAAATTTGTATGGCCTGTTTCATAAATGTGGCTCCACTCTCTCCTCCCAGGCAGGTCAATGCACAATTGCCTATCTTTTTCCACTATTGCCTTCATCTCTCTGTCCCTACCTTCAGTAACCACCATCACCGTCGACCAGCCCAGGAGTGACCACAGCTCGGCCCAGCTCTCCATCTCCTCACCTCCTGCAGTTGGTCAAACGCCCGGTTATTACTCATCTACAGGACTACGTATCATTTCCCTCTGTGTTTTTGTCATTCCCTTGTTCACTGTATATAATAAATCACTGTATGCACCGAAGCCAGCTACCTGGGTCTGCCTCTTTCCTTGTTCGCACACTGATTGGTGTGAACGGCTCCTAACAGGGTTCCCCCCTGATTTTGTCTAAATCTTGACTTGGAATGTTGTAGTGTCCATTCTGCACATATGAAAGGATGTTCACTGCCCAGGTACAAATAATGTGCCTGCTAAAAGCCTTTGCTTCAAAATGAAGCCAACCTATCAAAACCAAAACACAATGGGTTGAAATTAGAGAATATCATGCTTTAAACTCAAGCTTTTTCCATTTCCCCCTTAGGCAATCCTTAACCAGATGTCATTCCATGGCCAGACAATCATCAGCAGCATCATTCTTGAGGCCATGTATAGAGACGGGCAAGCTTGTTTATAAATGGACCATTTATTACTGAAAAACTTCTCTTTTTTGCAGCCACTCCATCTCAGCCAGCTGCTTAAGTTTTGGATTTCTGGAAGTTATTTCATTCTGTAAACCTTTGGTCCATCTTAACACTGACTAAAAAGCAGCAAAGAAAAACTAGGTGTGGAGGATTTTCAACAGAAGCATGCAATCAAAGATGTGCAGTGTTTTAGTATAAAAAAAATATTAAATTCTACAAAGCTGACTGTACAGCAGAGTTATTACTATAAAGCCTCCTGCTATATAGTTAAGTGCACAGAAGTTATCAAAAACAAGACTGCATGGAGTACCTGGATGTAAAGTCAAGTTTCTTTGCAGCATCAAGGAAGAACTCCAGAGCCATGGATGCCTTGTTTCTGGCTATTTGGAGGATCAGAACCTGTGACAACAGTTAACTCAGTCAGCTTACTCATAGTTGCTTACAAGTTAAGTTCTGCATCATACTTTCCTGTTCTTCTTAACTGAGCCATTTAAATGAATTACATTTCAACTTTTCTGGAAAATCTGCCAATTCCACCAAACATGTTTATCCACAGTGAATTTAAAAGATAATTGTTTCTGCCATAAACATCACAGAACACAAAGTTTTTACTAAAGCAATACAGGCTCTGACCTTTTGGTTTAAGGCACAACAACAAAACACAAGATATTTAAAAAAAATGCAGGGGAGCCTATAAGAATCAAATCTTATAATTGCTTGTTTTGGGAGTATGAACCTTGTGCAATGACTTCAGGTAATAACAGGAGTCAGTAAAAGTTCCGAATATATACCTGCAGAGCAAGCAGCTGGCACAGTGGTTAAGGTCACTGGCTGTGGTACCGCAGGTCATGGGTTCACAGCCAGCTCGCTGAGCTAGTTACACAAGGAAAGATATGCAGGTTGGTGCACCTGTAGGTGGTGGGGGCAGATCGGTGTCTGCAGCTGGGGTAAGTGGGGGAGGATGTCACCCAACCAGGTTGGTGGCTGTGGTGAAGGAGAGAAGACTCCTTGCATTTTTTTTTTTTTTAAAAAGTTCTTCTTCTCATTCTCTTCAGCCTATTCCTCTTTTCCCCACCTCCAGACACCAACCCACTGGGGAGAGTGACATTCTCCCTCCCCCAGGCACCAACCTGCATATCTTTCCTTGTGTAACTAGCTCAGCGAGCTGGCTGTGAACCCATGACCTGCGGTACCACAGCCAGTGGCCTTAACCACTGTGCCAGCTGCTTGCTCTGCAGGTATATATTCGGAACTTTTACTGACTCCTGTTATTACCTGAAGTCATTGCACAAGGTTCATACTCCCAAAACAAGCAATTATAAGATTTGATTCTTATAGGCTCCCCTGCATTTTTTTTAAATATCTTGTGTTTTGTTGTTGTGCCTTAAACCAAAAGGTCAGAGCCTGTATTGCTTTAGTAAAAACTTTGTGTTCTGTGATGTTTATGGCAGAAACAATTATCTTTTAAATTCACTGTGGATAAACATGTTTGGTGGAATTGGCAGATTTTCCAGAAAAGTTGAAATGTAATTCATTTAAATGGCTCAGTTAAGAAGAACAGGAAAGTATGATGCAGAACTTAACTTGTAAGCAACTATGAGTAAGCTGACTGAGTTAACTGTTGTCACAGGTTCTGATCCTCCAAATAGCCAGAAACAAGGCATCCATGGGGCACCTGAGAAACACACATACACACACACACCTGGTTTAGATCACATTTCAGCAAGCAGACAGGCAGGGGGTGACCTGTTCACGCCAAATGGTCAATAGGATTACGAAGTGTGGAATGTTGTACCTCTGTCCAGGGCGGGCCTAGCCCAAGGAGATAAATGTAACTCATGGTTCAGAGAACGGATTTCCTGCGGGAGCTCTGTCTCTCTGACCCCAGCGCTGTAAGACTTCAGTAGGATAAACAATTCTCTAAATTAGGCTTTTTAGTAGTAACTCTGCACATCTTAATTTGATTGCATGCTTCAATGGAATGTCCTCCACACTTAGTTTTTTCTTTACAGAACAAATAACTTAGTCTATTTTGTCTTCCCACAATGCTTACTCAGCATCGGCACAATAATATCCTTATCGGCCTGATGTATTTTCCAACACCCATCTTTATTAAATAAAACATACAGCAAAAATATATAATCATGCATCAGACGGACAGACAAACATATTGATGTTCAGACAGCTGGCCTGTTGCTCATGGAACAGGGCTGGAGGTAGGACAGGACAGAACTGCTTCAGCCACTTCATTCAGGATCAAAATATTCAATAAATATAACTGAAAACTGGATAAAAAATAGTCATAGTGTATTAACAGTTGTGTATGCAGTATCTATATGTCCACAAGAAAAATACCATATACCTTCTCCTTCCCCCCTGTACAGTGGTTACATTTAATTCCAAGCCTTTGCACTCCTTTAGATATCCATACAGCATACCACTAAGAATGAGTGGAGACTTTTTGTGACCTGTGCAGTGTAATTTCACCTTCACAAACATGACAAGCTCAAAAAGAAGAGGTGCAGTTTTGAAATCTCTATGAACAGCCTTAAGCCAGTTCTCAGATCTGCAGGAATGGGAGAGGTAGAAGCAGGCCTTCCAAGAACCAAAAACAAAAAAAAAAACAAAATTAAATTCTGTCCTAACTGCTTAGGGGTAAAGAAGAGTTCCCATTATTTGGCTTATCCCTGTCACCATTCCTCTCAGATCTATAGAACTACATAGGAAGGAAGAAATCCTTCATGATCCATCATGCCAAAAGGGTGCACAGACGTTAGAACACTAGATTTGTTCTCATTTATACTAGTACTAGTAGCTAGTGGCAGCTTGTTCTATGTTTTATTTAACATAAAGTGTTTGATTAACCAACAGGACAGCATGTCTTTGCCACTTTCTGTGTATGTGTATATACATGTTTCATCTATTTTCATTGTTTTTTCCCTCTAAAATAGCCTAGTTGAGCATGCTGGTTTAAACCAAGACACTGACTATACAGTTTTGTCATAAATCAGTTTTGTGTATTACTACTTGATGAGTTCACTTTGCTAGCTACCTTTTTGTGCATACAATGCAGAACTGCCAGGCTGCCTGGAGAATTTCCCAATTAATCTCTCCTGAAAGCCAGAAGAACTGGCACTTTTGTTTTGGTTTGTACAACTAGGTGCCAACAGTGAGTCAGGGTAGAAAGTTGGCTGCGTGCACTGAATTTCTAGACAGGGATTAAGCCTCATTTCAGTTAAAAACACATTTCACTGGATATATCCACTGCAAAAAAAACCTCCAGTACAAAAACAAACTTGATCCTCCTCTAGAAAACTGGCCAAGTGTGTGTCTGACAGGAAGCACAGACACTGTAACAGTAGTGTATACATACAGTAACAATACATTAGATATACAGTGCAGTATGTACACAGTTTTTAAATGCTTTAAAGGATACTATTCTGTCCTTTGAACAGGATTAAGGCAAAATCACAAGTGTCCAGGTATAATGTTAACACAGCCTCTAATTTCATATCGATATAAAAATAATAAAAATTACATCTAAGTAATGCTAAAAATCTTCTAGCTCAGATCTGAATTTTCATACTGTAATAACAGATTAAGTTGCTTAATCCTTTCTACTGAATGTGCACACTATTTTATTTGTACATTTCACCTGAAAACCTACTATAATTACTTTATAGGCTTGTATATCCTGTATTTAGAACAAAATCAGGGGTTTTTAAGTTTTAATTAACAAATGTAAAAGCTAGTATTTGGAAGAAAACCTATAAACTGTGTTGTTATGAATATTATGTGGGATAACATACTTTTTAAAAATATCTTTTTTTGCAGCCAATTTGAAAATATTTAATAAACATCTGTTCCAGTAAGTGGTTCTTACAGATATGGGTAATAGTTCAGCTGGAAATGTGTTCACATCATATTTATATGCATTGTACAGCATGCATTTTCTTTAAGAGAAAACAGAGAATGGGTAAATCTTTTTAACAGCTCGCACTCAAGCAGGATCCACTAATACATAACGGATAACCTCTCCTGAACATGAGTAATTAAGTCACTCCATTACACACGCTTTAGGCCATTATCTGAACTAAATATATTGGAGCAGGAATTAATGGTCTTTTGCTTTTTTTACTAACAGTATTTAACATCAGAATAAGAGAACTAGCACAGTGTGTTCGTGAGTCTGTCTTGTATTTTGTAGCTTTTATCCCAGTGGCTCTAATTATTATTATCAGTGAAACAAAAACATACTGAATAACTGATGTCAGGTAGCTACACCAAATCATGACATAAAATAGAAAAAGTGTTGCAGAAACGTGCCTTGGCTAAGAGATACATAAAACAACAACATCCTAATAACCTATCACAGCAAGTGTGTTTGCTGTAGGGAGACATACGGTACAGTACAGTACATTATTGTCATGCATAAAATTAAAAGCTCTCTTTTCTCTGTTCAGTTCAGCAGCGTACCATATAGCTGTGCCTTGGTCAGACTGTCCTTTCTTGTCAGTCCCGTACTGCCAAATTTTTGGTATCTTGGAGAAGTCTTCTTTGGAAGTGCGGGGCCAACACTGAGAGCGGAGCTGGAGCTTGGGCGAGGCCGGACGCTCGGCCTGGGGCTGGGGTAGTGCTGAAGACTTGAGGCTTCAAGGGAGCTTTGGTGTAAGGACTCAGCTGAGCTGTCTGCACTCAGATTCATGTAGTCCTTCTTGGTGCTGTCTGCTGCTGTCGCTCCCCCACTGCTCTCCTTGTCTTTAGAGCTCCCTGAGAGGAACAGACTGCACTCCGAGTCCTGACTGTCATCCTTGGCTCTATACAGCACAGAGGTTTTCTCCTCTTTACGATGCTCTGTGGGTTTGGGACTACGGCTGGGAGAAGGGGGAGCTCCAGCAAAACACTGATCCAGCACGTGGCTGTGGAAGACGTCATCTCCCTCTTGGAAGCTGCTGTAGAGTGACCCTTTACCTTTGCTGGAGGAGCCCATGCCGAAGTGCCGCTCAGAGAAACTATATGGAGAGACCCTCCCTGTGATGTTACGGTAGGAGGATGAGAAGGTGTTGATGTCTTCCACGCTAAGCTTCCTCCAGCGGCTGCTCAGCTCGTCCTCGTGAACCTGGACATCACCTTGGCTGTCTAGAGCACCACCGCGAGCCTGGCCGAGTCCAGTTGCGGAACCCATGCTGTGAGAAGAGGCTAAGCGAGGGTTGCTGGAATGGTATGGTTCACTGAAGCATGAGGCCGTCCTCCTATACTCTGGTGAGGTGCCCTTCTGTGGGCTCCTGGATATCACCATGTGCTGAATGCTGTGAGACTTAGGGAAACCTGGACTTTCCTTATTATATGAAGACATACTTTTACACTCAAAATCCCCACTGCCACCATCTCGCCAGTCCATATAGAGACCCTGGTGGGAAGAGGACAAAGTGCTGCTGGCAGTGCGCCCACACCCACCACTGATTCCTCCCTTCTCGTCCGATGCAAGGCTGAAGCTAGAGTAAGAACTGGAGGCAGGGAGGCTACCAGTGCCAAACTCATCTTGGTGGTGGCAGGAGGATGGGGGCTCATGATGGGAGAAGCTTCCAGAGTGGTAGGCTTCTTCTTCTGGGTTGCTGTCAGTGAAGTTCTGGGCATGGAATTGAAGCAGACCAGTGCCTTGGAGATCAACACTCTGCCTGCGCTCTGTCTCTTGCCACCGGTCAGGGCAATAGAGGGCTGTGTCACTGCAGTACAGATCAGATGTCTTGTACACAATTCGACGATTCAGGTGATCAGTGCTTCCTGTTCCTGCAAGAAAGTCTCCATCCTGTGGCTGTGGGCTGGGTGACCGTGTTACAGGGCAACTGTTTCCTGGTTCAGGCTTTTCTAGGACCTTGGCAATTATGGATGTGGGCACAGTGTCAGAGTAGTCAGAGTGGCACATTGCCATGGTGGCTCCACTCCCCCGATTATATTTCTCCATGTGGGAACTGATGCGTTCCTGAAAATCAAATGGCAGCTAAGAAAAGGAAGACAGACATGCAAAGAGACAAAAGAAGCTTTATGAGGATAGGAAATTTTTTACAAAAACCTACATAGATGTCTTTGTTTAATTAAATTCTGACAGTGAATCAGTCTTCAAATTAAGCCAGTAAAGCTCTCTAAAAACCATTTTCCTCAACTGTCTTAATTATTTATACAATCAACTCGAATGTCTTCCTCAAACAAATTGTATGTTTTCTATGGCTGCACTGAAGACATTTTAGAAGTGTCCCTGAATGATTTTAATACATAGTTCTGATATAGAAAGTAATTCATTCTTCTAAAGCTCATACACTTCAGACCTGCTCATGTATCTCAGTGGAACTGCACTACTTGGCCCCTCTAATGAACTTGTGAAAAAAATCTGATCTTTGTTTCATCTCCATTTAACTTAAATATTTCCTCTTTCCAAATGTTTTCTATCCTTTTCTTTTTTTCCTCTCTTGCTGTCTCTCACTCTCTCAAACAAAATGTGTTTGATTGGTTCATGTTTGAGAAAACCAATCCTGTCAATTACTGACTGGTTCTTTGTGCTTATTAAAGTTGGCCAGGGTCAGCAGGAGCTGTTCCTTCAAGACCAAGGTCTCTCTTTTCTCCTCCTTTTCTTTATCCTTTCATCCTCCTCTTCTTACACCACTGCCTTTTCAACAAAAAAAGCCCAAATTCCCTCTCTCTTTGTTTTTCGCATCGTCTCTTTCTTCTGTCTACCATCAAACAAATATCAGTTCCACAGAGAAAGGCTTAGCTTCAAATTAAACCAGTGCACTGCCTCTCCCTGCTGGGAATAAAAAAAAAAGAGAGAGATAAAATACTGACTTGGATTGGTTAAGAAATACAAGCTTGCCTCGGCATAAAATAACCTGCATCTTTTAAGTTGAAGCTATTTTTAGCAGTCACTGTCCCAGACGAAATAGAAATGGAAAGCAGGCTGTGAGGGTGGGCACAAGATAATATATAATATGTGTGTTCCAAGGAAGCTAGCTCAGCATTCACTGTTATCTGAGGCAAATCTTAATTAACAGTCACATAGTTCTGTAGGGTAAAATCCATGTGATACCATGTCAGTAGGTTTTGTTCCTATTACTGAAATAAACGATTTAATGCTTATGATGGGACTGACACACTTTATTTGAGGCATCCTAGCAATTCGCTGTGGAATCCATATTCAGGATACTTCACAATTAGATTTAATCTTTTATATTTACATGTTTTTATTTAAACTTTTGTCACTGCTAGGTCTTTCACGTTGGCTTGGTGGGTCTCTGCCCTTACAGGTTAACAGTCATTAGCCCTAGTATTACATGTTTTCTTACTTTATGACCAGTTTGCCTCTTGTGATAGTGTCATACTCAATTAGCATTTACCATTATCCCATAATTTGTCACTGGTTCGGCCACTGTTTCAGACTTACTATTAGCTAGTTAATAATTCTTTAATATATTACTTGTGTGGTGTAGAAGATAAGCATTTAAGAATGTAATTATGTAAGAATGTTAACACTATTATAATCTTTTTTTAGTATAATACTTGTGTGGTGTAGAAGTGAATCATTTACTGCTTGCAAACCAATGATGGTAAGATGATGTCATGGGGTAGGACTGGATAAGTCTGACTTCTTCCTACTCCATTCAAGCATGTACTAGGTATAAGCAAATTGATATTGGATTAGCATTTGTTGGATATGTGTAAAATTATGTGTGTTGACATATCAACTGTCTTTACATGCTTGAAAGAATAAAAAAAAAAAAAGTTTGGTATTCTTTTCTTCTTCCTAATGTTTAAAATCTGAATTATAAGAGAATCAGAAAACATTGCCTTAATTAATTGTTGTCCCGTTTCATTTATCTCATCACCTGTTTAATATTGTTTTTTTTTTATTCAAATGTGTCCACATAGAGTGCTTCAGCCAACTAGCAGCCATTTTTTAGAGTGTAACTTTAGTGCATCAGGTGCTGTCTGAGGCCAGCCTTTCATTCACTCATTCATTATGCACAGCCAGGATTCATACAGATGGCACTTCAGACAGCAGACCTCCATCTGTCTGACTGAAGTGGACTGTGACTCCATCTTATTATGAAAACCACTCACAAAGACTTTTAATGGAACGCCGATACAACACAGTGAACCTCTCTCCATTATAGGAATAATTCATTAAGAATTTCAGCATCATTAGGACACTCATTATATACACCATAAGTTAAATGATGGATGATGTAATTTTATCCATTAAGTTCAAGACTATAAGCAGGATTTTAGTAAAACTGAGGTCATAACTCAAGCCAATTCTGGTGGAAGAATGATGAGCCCTTGATGGGTCGGGCATCGCACCTTAATAGAGTTTGAGTGCTACCAAAATGTGGCTGTATTGAATATTTATTTTAAACCCCAAGTCATCAAACCTTTCTCTTGCAGCACAGATTTGAATTAACATGTTGATGCCGCTGTAGCAGCAGTGTGGGGAGCTCACCTCAGACATCTTGTGAGCTCTGTAGTGAGACTTGGAGCACTGCAGCAGCTGGGCTGCCAGGTTGCAGTCTTTCCTGTACAGGTCCTGTAGGAGGCAGAAAGATTATCCTAAATCACTATATGCTTAAAAACTTGTTCATTTTGGCAGCCTGATGATTTGAGGATGTTTTTGACCAAGGAAATTATGTTTAAACACTCTCTGGGCAGATTCTGTTAACACTTCATATTACAACCTTTAAATTGTGGTTTAATTACTGTATATATATATATTTTTTTTTTACTATGGGGGACTTTGGGGTAAATTATTTCAGGACACAGTAATGTACTGTTAGTGCTGAGCAATAGCAACAAAATGTCTAAAAATATAATGTAACCGTTTACTATTTATGAGGCATTTATGGATCGTGGGTAAACAAACAAGAAACCTGGCATGGCCGTTTTTAATTATATGAAATTTATAACTGTATATAAAGTATGCTTCTCGGAAAGCATGATCAGTTATATTTTCCCCTGAAACACAGATAAGTAACCTGCTGGATTAGCCAGTTCATTGATTTATTGGCCCATCAAATCAAAGGAAGAAATTCATCCATCTAAGTGGGTAGACTTTAATTAGTTAATATGAATTTTCACCTATATTTTTTATGGGGTTAACATTAAGGGTCTGCAGGATTTTAATAATACCAAAGAACATTTTAATTTGTAGTATCTTATCTGCCCTGTATAGTCTGGGCTAGTTTCATTAGAGTTGTCCGAAACAGTGCCTTCATTTATCACCGGCTTCCAGCCCAGGAACCTACTGCAGAATTATTTATCTCTTTCTCTGTGCTTTCCTTCTATAATGGATGTTTTTTAGACTTTTTTGTTAAATTGTGGGGGTGGTCTACTGGCACAGCAGATGCTCATTTTAGTTGTTTTCATGCATCTGCAGTACAGTATGTGTGTGGGTGGATAACTGGTTTAGCTGACTGTTTCCACTACATCCTCTGTTAAATCCATCCACTTCTAAAAGGTCAGTTCTAGCTGGTCTCCAGCTCCCTGTGCCTCTGTAGCAACAGTGCCCTGAAAATACTTCCCAAAACATCAAAGCCTTCTCTCTGACAGTTTCAACTCCCCTACCAGTTAACAGTGACTCCCTTTGAATCACTCTATTTCTTCTCATTTTGTCTCAGGGGGCATATGGGTGCCCTGTGATTTTTGTTCAAATACTGTAGATGTGATTTTTTTTTCTCCAAATGAGTAATAAACTTGAAGGGATGGAGCATATTTTTTTGAACCACTGAATACATATTCATGCAATCTAACATTTAGTAATAAACATAGGAGGTTTATGGGATTGAGCTCTGGGACTCCAGGTGCTCCCTGGCCCTTGGTTCCCTCATTCTGTGCGTGGTAGGTCCGTTCAGTAATCTATTCATGCTAATAAACTATTGCAGATTGAATGGAATTATCACCTAGAGTAAGTTCAGTCAATTCAGTATGCATTTGTCAGACATGACACTTTCAAAAGGCCATGTTGCTTTCTCCATGGTATAAGCACCAAAATCTTAGCTTGCTCTGTGGAGGAAATGCCTGCCCCACTGCCCGCTCTGATGGGACAAATATCCACCCACTCATAATGAACCTTGACCTTGGAAGGACAGTCAAAATATTATGTAGCTCAGATGTGCATAACCTGCCAAAGCGAGAAAATGTAACCTATCTCTATCCTGAAGCCACAAATTGAAATACCAGTAAAATCCCTTCAGAGAAAGTGAGGCACCAGATTGTCACACGCCCCTGAGCTCACCCCCTTGCAGCCATGAGGATGCCCATTGATTTCAGTATAATCACCATAAAACACCCAGCGCTTTGGAGTTAATCCCTTTATCTGCTGTGGCTCCTTGAAGCACAAATGTCATAGAAAAACAGTGAATATGAGACTTTTAAATAGCTAGGGAAAATAGTCTTCTGAAGAGCTACTGTATAATTTCAGTCTCCCAAGCCTACTGCCAGATTACTGACCAGGTAAAACAAAGCAGGCTTCATTTGTGGGTCTGCTGGCAAAATGTTCGCAACCAAGTGTCATTACAGAGAAACGTTCAGATACTGTACCGAGTTATGACAACTTTGCTTTTTGTTATTGCCGACAGGGAAGTCACTGTGAGCCCATATTACACGATGGAGCCTCGAGTACTCACATTGTCCTCTCTGAGTTTATTAATGGTGATTTTGGCTTCCATGAGGTGGTTGTTGAGGATGATGATCTCTCGGCTGAGGGCTCTCTTTTCCTCTTCATGGTGCTGGGACTGCAGTGTAGGAGAAAGAAGTGACACGGTGGTAAGTCGAGAGGTACAGAAACATGTTGAGGGTTGAAGAAAGACAAAGTTGGAGGAGCAACAGAGCAAAAATAAGATAGGAATGGGGAATAAAAATGAGAGAAAGAGAGCCATAAGTCACTATCAGGCTGAAGACGGTGCCAGCAGCAGGTCTTAATTAAAAGAAGATTACATTTGCCAGAGTTCATATCATATCAATTACTCTGGGAGTAAGAAAAAGAGAAATGGAGGGGGAGAATGAAAAATAAAGGGAGAGAGCGAGATGGGGAGAAAGACAAATGAAACACTCGTTCCACTTTCAGTGATTACTGTCAAAGACATGCAAAATGACTGCTGGAGTGACATTTTAGCCCCACTAGGAGTGGAGCCTAATGATGGAGATGTCTACTGGCTGGCTGGCCTGTCTTTCTGTCTGACCACATTTATCCTGACAAATATTGGCTGGACTGTAGCCTGAAGTTTGGCCAGATATCCACGGTGCCCCAAGGACTGTATTTAATGAATTTGGTGGCCCTAACATTTCATCTAGTGCCATCAGCCTAAAATTTCTACTGGTATATATGAAACTAATGAGACAAATTGCTTTTCACATATACAGTAATAAACAATTGCTATGGAGTAAGATGAGCACATTTATGCCCACAAGGGCATAAACACTTGTGATTTTAATGACACCACAGACTCTAGAACTGCCCTCAGGACAAATTCTGAACAGTTTTTAAGCGGCCTAACCTTAAGCTTTGCACCAGGCTGCACCTGTTTGACCTCTGACCCAACATTGCTGCCACTGTAGGTGTGTTTGGTTGTGGTTAGAAGCACGCTTTAGTCTGTAACCTTACCCAACAGTGATGCTACATGAGTACACACCTCTACATCACTGCAGAGACACAGGCATTGGACAAATATTGTTAATGAGAGTAATCTGGGTTTTTTTTTTTCAGAATAATACAATACTGAAGTTGTTGCCTGGGGGTAAAAGGACACAGTAATGTACTGTTAGTGCTGAGCAATAGCAACAAAATGTCTAAAAATATAATGTAACCGTTTACTATTTATGAGGCATTTATGGATCGTGGGTAAACAAACAAGAAACCTGGCATGGCCGTTTTTAATTATATGAAATTTATAACTGTATATAAAGTATGCTTCTCGGAAAGCATGATCAGTTATATTTTCCCCTGAAACACAGATAAGTAACCTGCTGGATTAGCCAGTTCATTGATTTATTGGCCCATCAAATCAAAGGAAGAAATTCATCCATCTAAGTGGGTAGACTTTAATTAGTTAATATGAATTTTCACCTATATTTTTTATGGGGTTAACATTAAGGGTCTGCAGGATTTTAATAATACCAAAGAACATTTTAATTTGTAGTATCTTATCTGCCCTGTATAGTCTGGGCTAGTTTCATTAGAGTTGTCCGAAACAGTGCCTTCATTTATCACCGGCTTCCAGCCCAGGAACCTACTGCAGAATTATTTATCTCTTTCTCTGTGCTTTCCTTCTATAATGGATGTTTTTTAGACTTTTTTGTTAAATTGTGGGGGTGGTCTACTGGCACAGCAGATGCTCATTTTAGTTGTTTTCATGCATCTGCAGTACAGTATGTGTGTGGGTGGATAACTGGTTTAGCTGACTGTTTCCACTACATCCTCTGTTAAATCCATCCACTTCTAAAAGGTCAGTTCTAGCTGGTCTCCAGCTCCCTGTGCCTCTGTAGCAACAGTGCCCTGAAAATACTTCCCAAAACATCAAAGCCTTCTCTCTGACAGTTTCAACTCCCCTACCAGTTAACAGTGACTCCCTTTGAATCACTCTATTTCTTCTCATTTTGTCTCAGGGGGCATATGGGTGCCCTGTGATTTTTGTTCAAATACTGTAGATGTGATTTTTTTTTCTCCAAATGAGTAATAAACTTGAAGGGATGGAGCATATTTTTTTGAACCACTGAATACATATTCATGCAATCTAACATTTAGTAATAAACATAGGAGGTTTATGGGATTGAGCTCTGGGACTCCAGGTGCTCCCTGGCCCTTGGTTCCCTCATTCTGTGCGTGGTAGGTCCGTTCAGTAATCTATTCATGCTAATAAACTATTGCAGATTGAATGGAATTATCACCTAGAGTAAGTTCAGTCAATTCAGTATGCATTTGTCAGACATGACACTTTCAAAAGGCCATGTTGCTTTCTCCATGGTATAAGCACCAAAATCTTAGCTTGCTCTGTGGAGGAAATGCCTGCCCCACTGCCCGCTCTGATGGGACAAATATCCACCCACTCATAATGAACCTTGACCTTGGAAGGACAGTCAAAATATTATGTAGCTCAGATGTGCATAACCTGCCAAAGCGAGAAAATGTAACCTATCTCTATCCTGAAGCCACAAATTGAAATACCAGTAAAATCCCTTCAGAGAAAGTGAGGCACCAGATTGTCACACGCCCCTGAGCTCACCCCCTTGCAGCCATGAGGATGCCCATTGATTTCAGTATAATCACCATAAAACACCCAGCGCTTTGGAGTTAATCCCTTTATCTGCTGTGGCTCCTTGAAGCACAAATGTCATAGAAAAACAGTGAATATGAGACTTTTAAATAGCTAGGGAAAATAGTCTTCTGAAGAGCTACTGTATAATTTCAGTCTCCCAAGCCTACTGCCAGATTACTGACCAGGTAAAACAAAGCAGGCTTCATTTGTGGGTCTGCTGGCAAAATGTTCGCAACCAAGTGTCATTACAGAGAAACGTTCAGATACTGTACCGAGTTATGACAACTTTGCTTTTTGTTATTGCCGACAGGGAAGTCACTGTGAGCCCATATTACACGATGGAGCCTCGAGTACTCACATTGTCCTCTCTGAGTTTATTAATGGTGATTTTGGCTTCCATGAGGTGGTTGTTGAGGATGATGATCTCTCGGCTGAGGGCTCTCTTTTCCTCTTCATGGTGCTGGGACTGCAGTGTAGGAGAAAGAAGTGACACGGTGGTAAGTCGAGAGGTACAGAAACATGTTGAGGGTTGAAGAAAGACAAAGTTGGAGGAGCAACAGAGCAAAAATAAGATAGGAATGGGGAATAAAAATGAGAGAAAGAGAGCCATAAGTCACTATCAGGCTGAAGACGGTGCCAGCAGCAGGTCTTAATTAAAAGAAGATTACATTTGCCAGAGTTCATATCATATCAATTACTCTGGGAGTAAGAAAAAGAGAAATGGAGGGGGAGAATGAAAAATAAAGGGAGAGAGCGAGATGGGGAGAAAGACAAATGAAACACTCGTTCCACTTTCAGTGATTACTGTCAAAGACATGCAAAATGACTGCTGGAGTGACATTTTAGCCCCACTAGGAGTGGAGCCTAATGATGGAGATGTCTACTGGCTGGCTGGCCTGTCTTTCTGTCTGACCACATTTATCCTGACAAATATTGGCTGGACTGTAGCCTGAAGTTTGGCCAGATATCCACGGTGCCCCAAGGACTGTATTTAATGAATTTGGTGGCCCTAACATTTCATCTAGTGCCATCAGCCTAAAATTTCTACTGGTATATATGAAACTAATGAGACAAATTGCTTTTCACATATACAGTAATAAACAATTGCTATGGAGTAAGATGAGCACATTTATGCCCACAAGGGCATAAACACTTGTGATTTTAATGACACCACAGACTCTAGAACTGCCCTCAGGACAAATTCTGAACAGTTTTTAAGCGGCCTAACCTTAAGCTTTGCACCAGGCTGCACCTGTTTGACCTCTGACCCAACATTGCTGCCACTGTAGGTGTGTTTGGTTGTGGTTAGAAGCACGCTTTAGTCTGTAACCTTACCCAACAGTGATGCTACATGAGTACACACCTCTACATCACTGCAGAGACACAGGCATTGGACAAATATTGTTAATGAGAGTAATCTGGGTTTTTTTTTTTCAGAATAATACAATACTGAAGTTGTTGCCTGGGGGTAAAATTGTCTGGCTAGTATGGGGAATATGGATTTAAATAATACTACAGCATTTATGATAGTGTTGTATCAATATTAAAATGTTACAATATTAACTAAAGTATGTCATAATAGAAAGTTAAAAATCTGTCTTTCCCACCAAGTCATATTATTGCACTGGAACAAATCCTTTTATTTTAAAATATAAATGTAAAATATTTGTGCTCTCATTCTGGATGCAAGATTCTTAAAATGCATCTTATTCTTTAGACATAAGAACTATAATACTTTAATATGACAGCTTTGTCTTGATAAACGGACAGATAATAGCCCTTGAGGTGCTAAGTATTTTGAACAGCTACAATTTATGGCAGCTGAGGAGCAATCTCCATCTGCTGATGAGGTTAGAGTTAAAGGCTCCAGAGACTTTAACTGAAGTGGGCCTTGAGCTGAGATTATTTAAATCATGTTAAAGTGTCCATCCAGCTGTCTGCCGCCTATATATTGTGCATTGCCAGGAGTGGGTTCTAAGAAATTGTATTTTCTTTTTCTTGATCTTGTTCTCTGTAACACACACACACACACACACAATAGTAACTGTGAAACATCCTGGCCATTGAAACACAGCACCAGCTGACAACTGATGCAGCTCTGAGCAGTCGCTTGGCCTCCCACCCTTCTCTCTTCTGATCTTTCAGTGGTGGTGATTGTTTTGAAATACAGGAGTGCTGAGCCAGTCTAATAGGTGGCAATTAATGTCAGTTTAAGCAGTCGGGCAGCATTGATATTCAGATCCAATTCTGTTAGGCTCTCGTTAATCAGCTGTCGAGACATGCAGCTCTCTAGCACTCTCTCTCCAAATCATTACTTTAGATTTTTATTCATATTTTACAATGCTAACTGTGCACATCAGGGCATTTTAAAGCTCAAATATATAATTGCTCCCTATTCTTTGTTAACATGATATTTTATTGGATCAAAGACACTTTCTCACCCATATGCTAATATGCATAATAGCTTTGTAATGTATTACACCGGTGCCTTTGATCTCATGCCTTCTAAATACAGAGTGACATAAATCCTTTAAAGGATAAGACCAGTCCTTTTCTATATTAATAGTATTTCAACAGTCCCCATGCAGAGATTAAAACCAGTAATGATTTGCCTCTACTCATGGTTAATGTCTGTCAGTTTGTCAGAACTGGATTATCTTATTTGTCTGTGCCATAGACTTATATTGTTATTCACAACAATTAAAAGTGAAACACACTGCTGCACTGGTTGGCATTTCCTCATTATGAAACACCAGACCCTGACCATTTTTATGCCTCTGTGCCGGAGATAGCTGCAGCCATACTTTTTTAAAAATAATTTGCCACTTTGAATCTTTTTTTCTTCACTATAGCTGCTGACTTTGATAACTTTCATGTATTCCATAATCTTTTCGATCAAACCGATGCTCCGCTTGCATAATATTAGATGCAAAATTGGAAACTACCTACATATAGATTACAGATGAATAGAGGGCAATCTTAATAGGCTTGATGTGATCTTATACTGTCTTTTCCAGGGAGGGAGGAAGTGGAATTTTAATTACAGCATTATGGCTAGCGGAAGAATCACAGCTGTGTACAATGATTTTTGCTATCTCCTCCAGTCACACTGTGTTGGATACACAGGCTGTCACCAAGATATTCTTATCAGTTCTTATCAGTTCATGTCACACATATAAAAGAACAGCATCAAGGAAAATTAATATGCAAATTTTGACTATCGTATCTTAAAAAGTTTGACCCAGGGGAGGAGGAGGGATATTGTTTCTCACAATATGGCGGCTCAGGGAGTCCCTGCTGCCTCCTTTTGTTTTTTTAAACTTCCATGTGTGCAAGTTTCTTCTAATTACTGAGCAACAAGGTAAATATGACCTTTAAATTCCAACTCGGCTAACAGAGAGTCAGTTTACTCCTTTATAAGCAACTATGTACTGTGATGGAAAAGGGAACAGTAACACTTAAGACAAAACCTGTAGAGCTTGTTTCAATTATTGATCAGGAGGCTTTGTTGAACTGAGCGCACAGTGTATAAAAAGCATATATAAAAAGGTGAGAAATATGTCAAGGCACCCTGAATTTGTTTCAGGTATTCTGCTGGAGAGTCTGCCTCTTCACTGGACAACAAATGAAACTTAAATCCCAAGAGATACAATTACTGAAGACTGTGGTTCATGGAAAAGAGCAGAAAACTCTCTTATTTTGGGGGAAAGAAAAGAAGCAAATGACATTTTCTAGCTCCATTAAAAACCTTTTAAACAAGACACCAAAGACAATCACCATCCTGAACAAAACGGGTTCCAGACCCAAAGTGATTGAAATCCAAAACAACTTCACATGTGAGGCTAACAGTATTTACTGCAATAAATAAGCATCAGTTGGTGATTGATGCCTTATAGCCAGGACTACTCTGGTGGTTTTACAAACCACACATAGCATAAAGTAAGTTTTTTTTTTTTTCCCCAAGCAGAGTTCAGTTCATGACAGTACAGTATGGATATCAACTGATAAAGCATAAATTTGGCTTGAGATACTTTAAGATTTAAATTGCTTGGGATCACAACTGATTGTTCTTTCTTGATGATGCACTGTTACTTTGCAGATCCCACAGTGGCAAATCAAAGCTAGAAGGCAAAAAAAAACCTAAACTGGTTGCTGTTTGCGGGTTTAAAAATATGGTATCATTTGTACAAACAATTCATGTACCTTCCCAAAACGGTGAACATTGTAGTATTTAACAAACATCATACAGACTCTAGTAAAGAGAGTGTTTGTGGGGGATGTTTCTTGACTGGTGATTAATACATATTTGGTGGGATTACTGCCAAGTGTACAGTACATGTTCTTTATTTTTAACCTGACACCCAGTACAATGTGGCTCATTAAAGTGTTTTAATAGCTTTTGGGTAACTTCTGTGGCACAGAGGAACAAGCTCTGTAAGGGTTTGTCTACATAGAAAATACTTGTCAGTGTGATCAATTCATTGTTGATTTTATTTGTTTATTGGATTTGTTGACAATAAGAGAAAGATTAGAAGACAGAATATCATATGCTTTAGATTCCTACAGTTTTCTTTAGTGAATCAGCTGCATTATATGTAAATTAAAAAGTTTTTTGATAATTTAATGTAAATTTAAGTATGCAACTGGTATATGACTAAGAAATGCTGATTTTTTTCTTTTGAGTCTGTTGCTGATTCATAGCCTGACCTGTTTTCCTGCTCCAGAAAGAACTGGGTAAATAATTATGTGCAGCACATCTGCCTGGTTTCACAATGGCACTGCTAATTTGCACTTTTCATTGAAAAGTCGTGTCTAAAAACGGTAGCGTTAACTACTTAGTGCACCACAGACAGGCCTTGTTACTGCTTATTGAACAGCAGAGAGCAACACATACAGAGGAGCACTCATGCAGAGCAACACATTAACACATAGACATGACAAGATTCTTCACGTCACTCACACACCACCGGGGCTATTATTCTTCTAACACCCTTCATACTGTAAACATAAATGAAAAAGTCATTATTTGCTATTTGGCCATTCTGACGGGAATGTGTGACTTACAAACAACAATAAATGTTTTTCTGCCTCGGGTTTCTTCGACTACTCAGTTCATCAACATCACACTGCTTGAGGAACCAAATGTATTTATTATCTCAACGTTTACATATATATTCTCTGTTCTGTCCAGTTTGTTTCCTTCTTTAAGATTTTGATGTCATCTGAACAAACAATAACTGCTTTGATATTGCTATGTCAGCGTTTTTTAATAGGCTTGGCTATGAGAGAGCCTATCAGAGGCCCCAGAGATTAAACAGATCCTGTGTGTTTCTTAAATAAACACATAAATAATTCAGATTGGTTATGACAGGTGATAGATTCATACACCTGGGTAGAATTGTACTGCATACCAAGTACAAACGTAAACCATGCAGCCACTTGGGGAGATGCTTAGAGTCGGGCTGCAGTCATATTCTATTATTGATTCTTCTATAGATCAATCTGTCAATTGTGCATATAAAAAATGAAAAATTTGTGATAGTGCATGTTAAATTTCCTGCTCCTGGAATGAGTTAAAAACCAGTTAAAAAATCTTGTTACCCACTGGAGCATGTCATAACTGAATAGTATGGGGGTAAAAAAATAAGACAAATACATAAATAACCTATATTATATACGATTAACCAAAGCATTAGTAGTGTTTATAGATTACCTTATTAGTAGTTAATTACAGTGTATTACAGTCATTACTACTCGCATCTCTTGTATGGTGTATTATGGGCAACACCGACAGAAAAGCTACCTGGACTGACATTTGAATGCAAATATTTATTTTCTGCTTGCACCAGCACTGTCTCACAAGATGCTAAAAGACTAAAGTATCTCACCTACATCAAGCTATATCTAGTCCAATGCCAAAGCGACACTTCACCAAGGTGATTTTTGTAATGGATTATTCCAGTCATGCAAACTGCTTCATCTGCAGCACTGTTTATCTATACATCGAATCGTAGACGGCTCCTCCATGATCCACGCTGAATACAGCTACTCCAATGTCATCACAATGTGCATCTTGTCAGTTCTTCCGGGGCCTCTTGATTGCTCTTTATGAAACAGTTTTATCCTTTGCTGTTTTTTTTCCCCGACCTTGCCGGTTTAGGCTTCTCAGAACTTTTAATTATGTGTCTGATTTGATTGGAGCTGCCTTTGTCACAGCCTGCCTGCACCGTCTTCTACAAAGGAACATATTTCCCTCTTGAAATGCCATTGCATGACATGCCATCAAAAGAAATGGCAATCCCAATGAGGCCTGCCTCTAAAAAAAAAAAAAAAAACCCATGGCAAAAATTCAAACCTGCACCAAGGCTCTCTGCTAGACAGACAATCCCCTTGAAAACCAGCAGTTTTCAAAATGATTTTCACATGACTTGAACACGTTTGTGTGTGTGTGAATGAAATGATCTGTAATGGGAAGCCATTTTAACCTCTCAGTCTATTCATTGTATGACAAAGCAATAAGGATTACGCGGGAACATCACAAATAATAAGCTGCAAATACTACAAGACAGATGCTGTTTCAAATGGCTGTCATCTGAACATACAGTATGGCATTTCATGTCTGGGTTGATTTATTGCAATGTTCACAACTCACTGATCCAGCACCATGCATGAAATAGCAGAAAAATAAACACCCCGATAATCTCTATTATCTGCCACAAATCAAAATGTAAATATTCACTGTAGCTTCTGCTTATTTTAAAGGGTCACTTCACCCAAATTACAACTCTTAGTGGTTTCTTATTGGGGTGGGCACAAGTAGTAGATTAATTATATGACTAACTGAACATAGTTGATATATATTTTATTCTTCTATTTGATCTTTTGGTGACCTTTTAATTTACAGGCTGTTAACTACATAGTAAATTGAAGAAATTGCTAGGAAATAGCCAGGAAGAATGATGTAATGAGTAGTTATTGTTTATGAATGACCAGAAATTACTGGCAAGTACATTTATATTGAGCGACAATAGCGAGGACATGCTGCCTGTCAAAAGCCAATGAAGTCATTTCTACCAAAACACCCAGTACCCATTGTGGCCACAGACCTGTTATGTGAAGCGGCTGGGATGAGAATCAGCACCTCCAAATCCGAGGCCATGGTTCTCAGTCGGAAAAGGGTGGCTTGTTCCCTTCAGGTTGGTGGGGAGTTCCTGCCTCAAGTGGAGGAGTTCAAGTATCTTGGGGTCTTGTTCACGAGTGAGGGAAGGATGGAACGGGAGATTGACAGGCGGATCGGTGCAGCTTCTGCAGTAATGCAGTCGATGTACCGCTCCGTCATGGTGAAGAAGGAGCTGAGCTGTAAGGCGAAGCTCTCGATTTACTGGTCAATCTAC